CTTGTTTAAGTTTCTGTGTGTCTCCAAAAGGCTATTAATTCTTGCAGCTGACTGAGTTGGAGTCTTTCACAGCATTAAGATTCCCATAAATGCACCTTTTAAAATATAGTTAGTAAGTTTTACATTTTGAGGGTATAATTGTATGAGGTTTTAACAAATAAAACAAGACTCTCAAAGTGTATACCCTCTCCCCCACAGAAAAATGTATTACCTCGTTAGAATTTGCTGAGTAAAAATCTAATTATTTAGTCTTCTAATTTTGGTTTCATAATGTTATTTTTAATTGCGATATAAGAACTATAGAATTATAAATCTATTATCCTGTCAAACTGCTATGCATTTAGAATTGGATGTGTTTGCAAAAGTATAAACTATAATACAAAGCTGAAACAGCACTGTGAGCAACTGACTATGATATACGAAAGCTGTGGTTTTGCCCCCGCCCCCAGGAGACATTTGGCAACTTATAGAGGTGGGTGTCATGACTGGGGCGGGGAGGGGGCGCGGTACTACTGCACCAGGATGCTCCTAAACATCCTACACAGCATAGGACAGCCCCTCACAACAAAATGATTTGGTCCAGCACGTCAACAGTGTTGCGGTTGAGAAATCCTGTCCTAAAGAATCGCAATAACAATATTTCCATTATTCTTCTCGGCATATGTGACAATAATAACTTTGCTTCATGCAATCTGAAAATCAGAAACAAAGAAGTTCCTGAAGATTAAAAAAGATAACTATTATGGCTCCTTTTGATAATACAATGACTACTACTCCCATCCCCACCCCACCCCGATTTTTGCAAGCAAGACCTGAAGGTGACCCTCACAGGTGCCCTGGTTTAATTCCATCAGTGATAACACTTTATTATGCAGATATGTAAACACTGTTATCCGGACATCTTCAAGCAGACCTGCAGAAAAGATAGGCCTGGTTGAAAACTCAAACAAGATTCCAGATATCTATTATTTTCTGAGTTGTAAGTCACTGATGATTTTAAGATGCACCATCAATTACATAACAGCTTTTGGAAATATGGCAAAAAAAAATACCACTCCTTAGATGTTTACATTAACTGTAAGATGTGAACCGTTTTTAGAGATATCAAATATGCAAAATCTATACTAAATGTATAAGAAGATATACTAAGTTCGTTGTGTAAAAAGAAATTGAAAGACTCTGAAATCTCTTAGATCCTTCTCAGTCAGTATTAGCCTCGGTTATCTTCATTTAAGTCTTTTCATGAATCCCTCGACCTCCCATCACCACTCCAGGAAGAGGTGGTAAGGTGCAGGCAGGGCAGTGGTATCACATGTTCTTCGGAGATGAGAACAAACTCATACAAACCTCACAGCTTCTCTCTCTTATGTTTCTCTCTTGGAATTTCTCCCAATCCTTTAACTGTGATGGGGCGCTGTGAAGAACACCTGTGTGGAGCATGGTGCCAGTGCGATACAACGTATATTTGAAATTGTTTTTAAAAATTCAACTAAAGACCACCTACACCAGTTATTCATAAACAAAAACTTACTATAAAACCTATGTATTTGCTTATTGGCATATTATCCACTTGTTCCACTGGAATGTAAATATGTAAACAGGGATTTTTGTCTTGTGTTTACTTAACGAATGAGTGAATAAATGAATGATAAATGAATATCTTCTCTCAAACAGCAGTTATTATACAATTGCAGACTTATTTTCACACTGACAGAAAACAATAGGATTCACACTCCATGTTACAAACTTTACGGTCATTCATTTGTTCTCTACTAAGTCTTTCACACTTGCCCCTGCCACCTTTCTACCTCCCTTGCTCTCCAGCAACACTGGCCTTGGATCAGCTCCCAGAAGCTCCTTGCTCTCTTCTATCTGAGGGCCTTTTGCCCAGAACACTCTCCTCTCCATCCTCAATTTCTTCAGGAAGGCTTCCCTGATCACCACTTAGACTAGATGTCATGCCTGTATTTTATAGTCTCATAGTTTCTCATGTTTTGTTTTGTTTTATTTCCATCATAGTACTTATCATATTTGTAAATATATTTGTGTAATTATTTGATTAATGTCTCCACCAACCCCACATCACTCAGCTATAGCAGAAGCCATTAATATCCCCGCCATCCAGCACACTGCCTGTCAGGTTGTAATGCTCAATAATTATTTATTAAATGAATTACGTTTCTAGGAACATTATCTGTTACCAAATATATGAGTCCATGCTAGACTGTATTGTTCTCCCCTCTGGCTCAAGGTAGGTGCTTAATCAATACTTTTTGGTTAATTGAAATCATCATTTATCTACTGTGACCACATTCTCCTAAGTCTACATGACACTAAAAGAACTCGTTGCAAAATTACTGAAAAATCAGGTACTTTTCATTCTTTTTTCTACATACTAATAACGAAGCAGTTTGCTTTTTCACCCACTGAATTTATTAGCTGTTTTTGACATTAAAAACATAACTGGGTGAAAAATGGTTGTTTAAGGGATTCAATTATTGAATAATCAGTATTTGTGTCTATGTCTGTATTTGAAAACATCTGGAAGTATACTTGGATTATCCTCTAGATATTTGATGTCTTGTGCTCTCAGCCTCTGAGATAATCTCTCTTTATTATTGTTCCTGGATAAAAGATATTCTGTTGACAAAATAGGTGTTTTTCATAAGGAGGCATTTACAGAACATTTAAAATAAAGAGTAGTGAACTCGTAGGCTAAGAGGATTAAACTAATATTTTTTAGGAAGAGGAAGAAGAGGTCTTTAATGCAGAAAACTGTAGAAAATTATAATTTCATATAATATTGTGTAATCGAGAAGCTAGTCACATAGGAAGCCCTGGGGAAGAGTATGGAATTCTTGGAGATCCTGGCAAAATGATTCTAGCCAAAGAAAGCTAAAGAGAGACACCTAGACAAGAAATTAGAAATAACTGTAAACTTGAAATCTATTTCATATACTTCACTTTAAAATAGTTTCTTTACATATATCTTCCCTAACAATTGTTATCAGGATGTCTGTGGCTAGGCAGTTTTTATTTAAGTGTCTGGAATTCTGTTTAAGTAGTTTTTATTTAAGTGTCTGGAAATCTTAAACAGAATTCCAGGAAGTTCAAGAAGTTGGGGCAGTATTTGCTACTGAGGCCATCTTCTTGGAAAGCCCCAGTTAGGCAGTTTAGCCTCTGTTAAAGAGATCATCTTCACCCCTGCCTCGTTCATTCCTCTCACAGCCAACACTAGGCAAACGAAAAGTGGCTCATTCACTGCTTTGAGAGCTTTTCTGTCCATTTCTCATCCAAATTGTCCTCCATTGGGTCTGACAGATGCCTCGAATCTAAAGCACGAATTCCTGCAGCCTCTCCTTGCTCCACATAAGCCAGAGAAGAATAGAGCTGATTTGGGGCTCACTCTAGAAGGGGATGCCCAGTGAGGAATCGCCTGTCCCTGAGATCCCAGATACAGGAGAGAGACCTGGATGCTTGAGGAGAGGAAGGAACGACCAGCAGCCAATAGCAGACATTGATTCTCTTCATCTCCACGCCAAGGGGAAGGGTTCTGATGCTGAACTACACTCATGCTCTATTGCCTTTTGGCAAGAATACACTATTTCCTGTCTTTCTTTAGTTTGATGTTAGAAAGGTCCAAGGAACTAACACAATGGCTCCCATCACATCTAGGATAGTGATAACCAGAGTATTACAAGAAGAAAGACCCTCCCAGGCTGCCCGATCACTACCAACTTAAATGTACAAGTCTATCTTGACCTCCAAGGGAAATGCACTGGAGTTGAGACTTAGTTCTCAATGTCAAGGCGGGGCGGGGAGACTCCGAAACATTAGATTTTGCTTAGCATAATGTCAAGTATTTCATTACTGTTCTACAGATCTCTTTAAGAGGACTGGCTACCAAGTTTGGAATAAAGACTTTTCACTTTTACTTTCTCGTGACATTCAGATGAGCCACGTTGCTCATGTAACATTTGATTAAACCACAGAGATTTGACAGGGATAGAAGAAGTGAGGTAAAAAGAGTTAAGTACATTGGTTTCACTTTATATCAACTTATCTCCCTTCCCTGCAATATTATTAAAATACAAAAAGCGCAGTTTTGTTCTTGTCCACATTTATTTTATTTTTGCCATTTGCTCCTCATATAAAACTATCTGGCTAAGTAAATATTAGATTAATATTCATGCCTCATATATAAACAGCTACATAAAATATTGCCAGGGACCGAGCCATGTCACCTTGCTTATGAATCTTGTCTGGCTCTCATATGGGGCCATAAGCATATTTTGAAAAGTTTTCATGAAATTCATATACCAGTAGATTTCCTATTCTGAAAAGCCAATTTCCTAAATATTCAACGAGATTGCTTTCGAGACCCACATCAACACATTAGGAAGGTAATAATGTTCCTATCTTGACAGGAAATTCACTATTGTGGGTGTTGCTGTCCTAATTATACTGTAATAGAATTTCAGAATAATCTTTTCTGAATTAGAAAGCATCCGTTCTACTCGCTGCACAATATCCTCTTAAATTTCTCATACCGACTGAGTAGATTCAAAAAGTAAGGAGGGGCACATGCACATCGCCTTCGTTTCCAGGAAGAAAGGCAGGTTTTTATCACTTATCACTGTTTTTTGTTTTGTTTTGTTTTTTTAAAGTAAATTTCTTATATTTAAATAAAGTTTCTATTTAATCAAAATCACCACAGAAGAGAACAAAATTTTTAAAAAATCAGAATGGGTACATAGTTTTATTTTCACTAACCTATAAACTTATCAAGAGTTAAAAATAGCAATGTATATATATATATATATATACATACACCTCATGACGAAGTTTTAATGACAGATGTAAGCTAGCATTTTCTATTTACCAAATACCGAAACATGAACACACAACAGCCTAACTAGGAAGCAGCATCTTTGCATTCTGAGTTATCATTTACACAATTTAAAACCCTTGCATTCAGAGAGGTTAAAAAAGTAACTCACGATATGCAGTCACGCGGTGCCTTGGGTCTCAGAGCCTCCCACTGTATCGTGACAGATTTTATCACCAGCAGTTCTATGGCCCTGCAATTGAGATCACCCATATTTAGTGAATATTTTACCTGAAGATTTGACAGCTCCGTAAAGCAGTTGATATAAAACTGTTACTTTTAATTCTTCTGTAGTTGCCTTTGCAAACAGGAAACAGAAAACACACCTACATGAACACTGACATATTTCAGCCTAATTGGTCTTTGGCTCAAAGTTCTCAGGAGTGAGTCTTATATCACAGGGAGTGACAGGTTTAGTCCCCAAAAGAGCAACTCAGGTCCTAGCATTTCAGTCTAAAATCCTTTAGACATGTGCTATGCAGGCAATTTATTATAGGGAGAAACAGGCATTCTTAAAAACATCCGTGCCTTATGGCCTTAATCCTGGAAGAACTATAAACTTTAGAATAAATTTATGTACATATAGCATACATATGTTTATATATACATACATAACTATACAATATATTAAATAATATATTTTTAAAATATATACATTTATTATAATAAATAACATACTAAAATTACATATATAACTTTTTCCTGGAATACATATAGAAACTCTCATTCAGGAATCTTTTGACTATAAATAACAGTAAACCCAACTCACTTATATAAATAAATAACAAACTCACTTATATAAATAAATAACAAAACAATAAAATATTTTGGCTCATTGAACTATGGGGAAAAACCCAGACGTAGGGGCGACCAGAGGTTCACCGTATCATTTTAATCTCTGCAATTCTCTCGACACTGGTATTCTCTGTATATTGACTTGAATTTCCAGCTGCTTCCCTCATGGTGCAAAAAATAATAATTGCAGCAGCTGAAGACCACACATCCATCTTCCAAGAGGACACAGTTAGCACGCTGGCTATCCTAAGTTCTCACTAAGGTTACTCAGATTGCCACTTTGCTGATATAATGCCAGAGGTAGAGTCATATCTTACAATCGTGAACTGTCAAGCATGAAGACAAATGCCACATGCCGTAAAGACTAAATTGAAGGAAGGTGCCCCAACACTGGACCTGGTTTGCCTGTTCCTAGGATGTTACATGAGAAAAAATAAACTTTTTGGTTAAGCCACTGTAAAAGGGTTCTTGTTGCATGCAGCTGAACACATTAATACAAAGAGGTTACACAACCATGTAATGACGGATCAAGACTTAACCCCAGCTCTCTACAACCTGTCCAATGGTATTTCCAATAAACCCCACTGCCTCTCCAAAAGCAGAATTCATACTCTGAATATGACACAAACAGGCATTTAAATTTATGCTTCTTTCTCAACAAATAGCTCATTTAAGTGATCTGAGCCATAGTTCAAATGGTAAAAGGGAATTCACTGGTTTTGTTTTGGGTTTCTTTATCTTTTTAACAGGTGACATTCTGCCACTTAAAAAATCGCTCAGGCAAGAATTGAAACTTAGATCAGTTGACCAAAATTTCTTTCAAGGCTCCCTAAGGGATAATTAGCCATCTTCCCAAATCTCACCGTGGGTGAATTTTCTTCCTGGACTTTCTCATTCCTTAGTTATTAAAAGACAATAGAGTACTTGTGGGTCTGGCTGCACATGTAAAGAGCTTGAGGTCCCCACTCTGTCCTAACAACATGTAGAAATCAACGACTCCTCTTGGATCTATAAACCACTACTCCTAGGATCACAAAGACCAACAGAGGAAAACAGTCTTGGCTTCCCTGAGCAGACACTTGCCAGCATTGACCACCCTGGAAAGCAGTGCTGGGGTAGGAAAACCTCAACTGCAAGTGACAAACTGCTGGAGTCTCTGTGGGGACAACTCTGAGAGTTAAAAACTCCATGAGGACTCAGTCTTGGGGAGTCTTCACAGTACTGTCAGGTTTACCTCCAGGAGCTCTGGATTCCCACGGCAAATATCAGAAAAATCTCCTCAGGCTTCTAGAAAAAGGAGGGGGAAGGAGCCATTCTGAAATACAGCAGTCTCTCCTTATCCACAGTTTTTCTTTTCATGGTTTCAGTTACCCTCGGTCAACCGCAGTCTAAAAATTAAATGGAAAACTCCAGAAATAAATAATTCATTGCACACCATTCTGAGCAGCATGATGAAATCTCCCACCACCCCTCCCTGTCCAGCTCAGGACGTGAATCATCCCTTTGCCCAGTGCATTCACACCGTAGACGCGCCCCGCCCATTAGTCATGTAGTAGCTGCCGTCTCGGTTATCAGATAGACTGTAGCGTTATCACAATGCTTGTGTCCAAGTCATCCTTATTTTACTTGATAATGGCCCCAAAGCCCAAGAGCAGCGATGCTGGCAATTAGGATATACTAAAGAGAGACTGTAAAGTGTTTCCTTTAAGTGAAAAGGCCGAAGTTCCCTACTTACTAAGGAAAGAAAAAAATTGCATGTCGAGGTTGCTAAGACCTACAGTAAGAACAAATCTACTACCCTTGAAATTGTGAAGAAAGAAAAAAATTTTGTGCTAGTTTTGCCATCATACTTCAAACTGCGAAAGTTATGGCCACAGTGAGAGTTGGGAACTTAGTTAAGATGGAAGAGGCATGAAATTTGCAAGAGGAAGACATAAACGGAAAATGCGTTCTGCTTGATGGCAACGTTTTGTGCCAGAAAGCACTGAGCCTGTGCAAAGACTTCAGCATGGGATCCCCTGAGACTAGTAATGGCATTCACATAATTTTTATTAAAGTATATTGCTATAATTGTTCTATTTTATTATTAGTTATTGTGGTTTATCTTTTTCTGTACCTAATATATAAATTAAACTTTATCATAAGAAAGTATGTATAGGAAAAAACATAGTACATATAAGGTTCTCTATCATCTCAATTTCAGGCATCCATCGAGGGGTCTTAGAACTTATCCCTCACCAATGGTAGGGTGGTGGTGGTGGTGGTGGTACTACTGTATGCCAGGTCCTCATAAAGCCTGCCCTCAGGGAAACTAGTTAACCAGAGAGAAGGGAAAGAACTCTATTGCAGTGCATTGTCGCCATCCTGTTCCGCTTAAGGGGGAAGGAAGACACTGGGAAACACTTGGAGGTTCACAGTCCAGAGGCACAGGCTCACTAAAACACTGAGACCTAATCAATCATAGGATGCATAGAACACTTCCTCTCGCTGAAAACCTCACCACCACATTACTAAAAGATCTATTTACAGCAGTTTCTTCTAGCCGGTACATCATGTCTGGCTATCAAGAAAAAATTACCAGGCATATCGAAAGGTAAAAGACATAATTTGAAGAGACAAAGCAAGCATCAGAACCAGACATGGCAGGGAAGTTGGAAGACAACAGAACTCTCATGAAGGCTGGAATAATTTACTGAGCCAGAAGTCAAGGAGGAGCCCCACCCAAAAATCAATTGCAGAGGAATGAAGGACTTAGTTGTTAAAAGCAAAATGTTAAAACTTAAATATATATATGAATGACATCTTTCTGACCTCCAAATGGGAAAGGAATTCTTAAGGCACAAAACTGCTAATCTTAAAAGGAAGGATTGACAATCTTTCCTACTGTAATATTAAGATCTGTTTATTAAAAGAAAGAAAACAGAAGGCGTCCCAATATCCAAACAATTTTGCAACATGTAAAATTAACAAAAGACCAGTATTCAGATTATATAAAGAAATGTTACAAATCAGTAAGAAAAGACAACACAATAGAAAAATGAGCAACAGATCTGACACATTATCACAGAGGAGAAAAATACAAATGGTGAAATGAACATATGAAAAGATGAACAACCTCATTTATAGTCAGGAAAGTGCAAATTAAATTGATGGTGGGAGTATAAATTGATATAAACACTTGGGAACAATTTAACCTTATCTTATGCATCTTATGAAGTTGAATGTTCACATACCCTCCAATTGAGCAAATTCACTCCTACCTACATTTTCTAGAGAAGCTCTTATAAATATGCACTGGGAGACTTGCACAAAATAAAGCTGTTTATAACAGCTTTATTCAAAACAGCGAAAAAGCTATATTTAACACAAATTCCACCAACAGGAGAGCAAATAAATAAATTGAGTTATAGTCATACAATAAAATATTAGACAACAGGGAAAATTAATAAATCACACAGACCTGCATGCAACAACTTGGGTGAACCTTAGAAACACAATGAATGGTAAAAAGCGAGCATCAGGTAACTATGTATAAATGACTTTTTTTTTTAACAAATAAAGCTCAAGAACTGCAAAACTAAACAATATTCTTGTTTTGTAAACCTACATGTAATATATTTCTTACAGTTTTATAATCATTTAATCACATATGAAGATTCATGTAACTACAACTGCAATCAAGATATAGAACTATCCACCACCACACAGAACTCTCTTACTACCATTTAGAGTTTCATCCAACTCCTCTGCCCCCATTCCTATTCCTGAAAACCATTAATCTGTTCTCCATCTTTATAATTTTATAATTTCTAGAATGTTAATAAATTGAACTATACAGTATGTGACCTTTTGATACTTTTTTTTTTTTTAACTTGGCACAATGGTCTTGAGGTCCATCTAATTTGTTGCATCCATCAATACTTGTTCCTTTTTATTGCAGAATAGTATTCCATGGTTTGAACGTACCACAGTTTAAACACTTATCTATCGTAGGCCATTTTGGTTGTTTTTTGGCTATTACATATAAAGCTTCTAGGAAAAATTCTGTATAGGTTTTTGTTTTTCATTTCTCTAGGATAAATGCCCAGGAGATTGATTGCTGGGTCATGTGATAAATTTATGTTTAGGTTTTAAGAAACTGCCACACTATTTTCTAGTGGCTATATCATTTTAATCACCAGCAATATTTGAGAGATTCAGTTTTTCTACATCCTTGCCAGCATATGGCATTATTGCTGTTTTTAATTTTAGTTGTTCTAATGGGTGTGTAGTGATAGCTCATCACAGTCTTCATTTACATTTTTGTAACAGCTAGTGATGTTGAACATCTTTTCATGTACTTATTTGCCGCCTATATATCCTTCTCAGTGGAAGAAATGTCTATTTTTTTTTGCCAGTTCTCTAATAGAATTGGTTCCTTTTTAACTGTTGAGTTTTGAGTTCTTTACATAGTGTAGATATGAGTCTTTTGTTAGGTATGTGTTTTGCAAATGTTTTCTGTCTATAGCTTATCTTTTCATCTTCTTCACAGAGACCTTCATAGAGTAAACATTTTTAATTTGGATTAAGTCCAATTTATTTATTTTTCCTTTTCAAGATCATGCTTGTGGTGTCATGTTTTAAGAATGCTTCATGCAGCCATAAGTCCTAAAGATTTTCTCCTATGTTTTCTTCTAAAAGTTTTCTAGTTTTATGTTTTACTTTTAAATCTATGATCCATTTTGAGTTGTATAAAGTGTTTGCTCATTTGTTTGTTTTGTTCTGCCTACAGATATCCAATTGCTCCAGCACTATTTTTTAAAAATGTCTTTCCTCCATTGAATTGCTCTTACATAGTTATCAAAATTCAGTTGGCTATACTTATATGTCCAGCTTCTCTATTTTGGTCCACTGATCTGTGCATCCATCTCCCTGCTAAGTTCACATGTAATAAGTCTTGAAATAAAATGATTTCTCCTACTTTATTCTTTTTAAAATTGTTTTAGACATTCTAGTTTCTTTTTTTCATATAAATGTTTAGAATAGTGTTGTCTATAGCTACAAAAATCTTTGCTGGAATTTTTATAATAATTCCATGAAAACTGAATATCTATTTGAGGAGAATTAACATCTTTACTGTGTTGAATCTTCCAATTTATGAACATAGTACGTCTCTCCATTTATTTAGATCTTCTTTGATTACTTTCATAGGCGTTATAGTTTTCAGCATACAAATCCTGTATGTTTCGTTAGATTTTTACATATAAGTATGTCATGTTTTTGAGTGATTATAAATGATATTGTATATTTAATTTCAGTATCCATGTACACATTGCTAGTATATAGAAACATAGAGTTTTTTTCGGTTTCTCTCATATCCTGCAACCTAGCTGAACTCACTTATTAGCTGTAGGAAGCCTTTTTTTTTGTAGATTCCATTGGATTTTCTGGCAGATCATCATGTCATCTGCAAGAAAGAGCAGTTTTATTTCTTCCTTTCTGAATTGTATTCCTTTTATTTTCTCTTCTTACATTATTGCACTGTGTAGAACTTCTAGTGCTATATGAGAAAGGGCACCATTGTCTTGCTACTGATTTTATAGGAAAATGATTCAGTCTTTCATTATTAAGTAAGTTGTTAGATGCAGGTGTTTAGTAGATATTGTCTATTACATTTTAGGAAGATCCTCTCTATTCCTATTTTTCGAAGAGCTTGTTTTTTGGGGAATCATGATTGATGTTGAATTCTGTCAAATGATTTTTTCTGCTTCAATTAGTGTGACCGTGACTTTTTTCTTTAGACCATGGTAGATTATACTGATTAATTTTCATATTGAATGAGTCTTGAATCCCTGGAATAAACCCATTTGTCATAGCATATAATTATTTTTATATATTGCTAAATGCTATTTGATAAAATTTTGTTAAAGAATTTCGCATCTCTCTTCATGAGAGTCATTAGTCTCTAGTTTTCTTATCTTGTACTGTCTTTTTCTAGTTTGGGTATTAGAGTAGCTTCATGAAATGAATTGGGAAGAGTTCCTTCCTCTTCCATTTCCCGGGAGAAATTTATAGGCCTAATGTTAACTTTTCTTATATATTTGATAGAATCTTCCAGTGAAACCCTCTGGGCCTGGAACTTTCTGTTTGGAGTTTTACTAAATTATTAATTTCCTTAGCTATAAGGCCACTCAAATTATCTGTTTTATATTATGTGAGTTGTGGTTTGTCCTTTTTGGGAAATCAGTTCCCTCCATATAAATTCTGAAACTTTGTTGTAGAGTTGTTTGTAGGAATTTCCTTGTTATTCTTTCAATGTCTACTGGTCTGTAGTAATATCCCATTTTTTATTCTAGATATTGATAATTTGTGTCTTCTCACTCTTTGTCAGTGTTGCTGGAAGTTTATC